ACTTTGCGTGGGAGAAAAGACACGTGAAATTTTTCGACACCGATCGAACTCTGTATGTTAAATATTATAAAAAATTCGGTAGAGCAGAGGGAATTCTATCGAGAATTTAATCGAAGGAGAGACAAGGATGAAGCAGCGATTGTGGATCTACTTTAATCGATACCACAAGCTGTTTCGATCGCTACGGTTGTCCGCGTTAACGTGGAAACGAAACGTAAACGGGCCGGTTGGTATGCAAACGAAGTAAGCGCACGTTTACCTGCCTCGATTTTCCGAAATTCGTGCGATCGTTTGATGTACCCAAGTGTATATTCCAACAGGAACTTACAGCGTTCAGAGGTTGCTAATTAAAAAGGAAGGTCTCTTTTCAAAACTGCCGGATCCTTTTAATTTAATTTCATTCTCACATCTCGTATTCCCTTTCCTACCTTTTTTCTCTATATTTTTCTTCCTTTCTCGCGTAGCGTGATTTATCTCGAAAGGTTAGCTTCATATTCGCGTATTTCCGCCAGTGATCACCGCGTATTCCCGACGCTCCTTTCAGGACGCATTTTTCCCTCGCGAGAGTTCGTTCCGCTTCCGACTGGCACGAAACGCGACTCGCAGTCCACCGGAAGAAAAAGGGCCTCAAGGTGAATTTGCGAGCCCGTATTCCAACTTCGTGCACGTCTCTCCCTTTGAAAGCTCGCTGGTTTTGTATGGATACCGTGTTCAACGATACACTGGACCCACTTCTGCGAGGTTTCGAAACAGATTTTCCTACTGTACACGCGGCTTTACTTAGTAGACGAATCAACGTACGATTCGTGATTTTATTTTAGAAGAGCGAAGAAGTGGTTTAAATTAGTTTTTGTGAGGTTTGAAAGGTGGGAGATTGTGGAGATTCGTGTTAATAGTGATTATCATTTAGATGGAAAATAGAGGCGTGTTTTTTTTTAAATTATTCGATGAGAACGCGAAGGAGAGATCAAAGGAGAGATGCGGAGGACGGAGGTATAGTCGGAGGAAGAAATATAGGGAGGTAAGATTTATATTGCCGAGGGAATCGATAGGAATTTAAGAAGATAAGGGCTACAAATCTCAGTTAGAAGCTCGTGAATTATGCTTTGAGTCAGTCTCAATTAAAAAATGTGAAATCTAGAGGCGAGAAATGAAGGATGACGGTATAGTCGGAGGAAGAAATACAGCGAAATTGTAAGATTTAGGCGTCGAAGCATATTGACTAGGAAATAGACAGAAATTTAAGAAGATAAGGGTCAGAAATCTTAGGAAAACCACGTGAATTATGCTTTGAGTCAGTCTGAATTGAAAAATGTAAGAAGCAGAGGAGAAAAATGAAGGATGAAAGTATAGTCGGAGGAAGAAATATGGCGAGATCCTAAGATTTAGGCGACAAAGTTTACATTCGAGCATATCGACAAGGGAAACAACAGAAATTTAGACGTCAAAGCATATTGATAAGGAAATAGACAGAAATTTAAGAAAATAAGCGCCAAAAAACTTACCCAAATTTGTGTGAATTATGCTTTAACTTTAATTCGTTTTCACTATAAAATGTCACTGCACCAACCTTTACTCAATACTTCAATTTTCAACCTCGCCACATTTCTTCCTCCACCTATACTTCCACACTTGTCACAACAATCCTATACTCCGAGCAGTTCCACGTGCACAACGATACCTGTATCGAACGATCGACTCTGCATGGGGGGTTTTGTTATTACAGCAAACAACTTGAAAATGCAACGGAAAATAGCTAAAAAAAGGCTTGTGCAAACACAAATCTTGTTTGACCCTGTTTCCCCAGTTCTATCCGCTTATCTTTAAACAAGCACACGCAGAACGAACGCCCGGCGTATGGAACGCCGATGCACTGCTCGTGGGCGTCCTATCGATTTTAAATTGTAAACTTTGTAAATAAATCAAATAGACTTAATTGCAAATGGGTCAGTGGAATTAATCGCTAAACAACGCTAGTCGCCGTAACACGCCAGTTCTTTTTTCGTATCTGTTGCCCCCGCCGACGGCCGCGTCCTGTGATAATGAAACACCCCCGAGTAGAACATGCCGAAGCTTCTAAGGATATTGGATAGCTCGGCGAACGATAAAGTCAGCGGAGAAAAGGTGGTCATCTAATTATTTCGAGCGGTAAATTGGATCGTCCCACGGACTATTTTCCGTTGGTCTAATATGCAAACTTCGCTGGCGCCAATGTCTACGCTTTTCAATTATCCAACGTTGATTCTTTGTTAAATTGCTCCATTTCCTTGCTCGATTATTCAACCTCTTCTAACGGTGGCAAAGTTCTCTTTTCATTGAAGAATTCTCTGTCGCGTTTCAGCCTAGTTTTATCACTTGCATTGTGGAGTTGTTTGGTAAACTCACAGTCTCTTTGATGATTTTTAGAAAAATAATTAAGGTTTCTTTGTAGAGAAATTGTTCATCAAGTTAGAATTCTAATTTTCAAGGTTTTGTGTTAAATCTTTTATTTAACAACGAGTTCAGTTCGACTGAAGAGATGATCAAGTGGAAGCATGCAGGGGAGATAAGTGCCTAGGCTTCTTTTTTGGCTCCATCAGCGTATTCAAAAGTACAGTAATGTCTCTACAAGTGTCAGCCAGTTTGGATTCTACAAGTGTCAGTATAGATGGTCCTACGCCTAGGTTTGCGTCATTGCTGCGCCTATGTTATCTCGCTCGCAGCCAGTCAAGCGTGTAACGCTACACCACTCGGTTTCTTTTACGAGATTTCACGGCTCGACAATTCATAATAGAAAAATATAATTTCTTTAATTTTACTTTTTTTCATCTGGAATTTTTTTTAGCATGTTGACGAGATTTTTCTGATGAAAATGATATCAAACACGATATAATTTGAACAACATTTACTTATTAATACTTATTGAGTAATTAATTTAATGTCGGCCTATCTCTACGTAAAAAAAAAAAAAAAATGTAGGGCCGATTCTACAAGTGTCAGTCAAATGTAGGGCCGATTCTACAAGTGTCAGTCAAA